GAGGTGGAGGAGGACGAGGAGGGGGAGCAGGAGGAGGGAGGAGAGAGAGGATGAGGAAGACAGAGGACGGGTGCGTCAGCACCACTCTATCTGCAGACGCCATGCTAGAACATCGAAGCCACGACATGCTGCCGAAGTGCATCGCGTACTGGATTCGTACTGTGTTTTGTGAGCTGCTACGCTCCAAGCCGGCGCAATGTCGACGTAATGTGCGCGCGTTACATGCGGTATGTTACATGCCGCGTGTGCTCGAGTGCTTGCGTAAGCCTTGATATGCTTTCCCACCTGCACATTCGTCGGGCAGGCAGTACGCTCGCTGGCTTACAGCAATCCCAAGGACGATGCTCTCAGATCAACCGTCGGGACTTCGCTCTGGGGCTGTCAGAGTAGGGGGGCTGCTGCCCAGCCAGCGGCGCAAAACCTGACACAACTCCCGCCTCCATCGTCCCCAGGCACTCCCCAGAAGCCACGGCCCATACCTTCGCAGTGCCGTCGCCAGAGACGGTCAGTACTTCCTGACCGCTCGGCGAGAAGGATGCGGACCGGGCCCCGTACTTGTGCCCCTGCAGCGTGCGCAGGCACTGCCCGCTGGTGCTAGACCAGACCCTTGCAGCGCCATCGCCCGAAGCTGTGATCACATGTTGCCCGTCGGGGGAGAAGGCGGCAGACCTCAGCCCGGACCTGTGACCCCGCAGCGTGTGCAGGCACGCCCCGGAGGCAACAGACCAGATCTTCGCTGTGAGATCGTGGGATGCGGTCAAGACCTCCAGCTCGTCGGGAGAGAACACGGCGGACCGCACCCCATCCTGGTGGCCCTGGAACGTGCGTAAACACTCCCGCGAAGCGGTGGACCAAATCCTTGCCGTGCCGTCGCCCGACGCGGTGAGCAGGTCACCGCCGTCACGCGAGAACACCGCAGACAGTACTTCGTCGCGGTGGCCCTCCAATGTCCAGTGGTGCTTCCCAGAGGTGGTGTGCCACAATTTCACTGCACTGCTGCCAGAACAGGCGAGCACCTGCTGTCCATCAGGCGAGAAAGTGCATGATCGTACTTGGCTCTCTAGCGTGCACAGACACTCCCCCGTAGCAGCGGACCAGACCTGTCCAATACCATCGCACGAGATTGTTAGCACCTTCTGCCCATCTGGTGAAAATGCGGCAGACCCTACCCTCCGCTGCACCTGCAACGTGCGGAGGCACTCCCACAACACCACGGACCAGATTTTGACTGTACCGTCGTCCGACGCAGTGAGCACTTTCTTTCCGCAGGGTGAGAAAACAGCAGACCACACCCAATATTTGTGGCCTGTCAGGGTGTGCAGGCATTCTCCAGACGCACTTGACCAAATCTTCACTGAACCATCAGCACACCCAGAAACTACGCGTGGCATAGGGGTTAGAACAAGGGTCAAATCTCTGCCGTTTTCTGCGCCAATCCCGGCCAGGGTCAGATTTCCGCACAACTCCACTGTTCCCAAGAAAATCCGCATCTTGTAATCGGGTGCCGGACTGTGTTCTGGCAATGCTGCAAGGACGTCGTGAAGACGCCAGCTCGGGTCTGCGTCCAAAGCCACGAGCTCCCGACCACTGCAAGAGATCACAGAGATGTGCATCTCGATCCTGAGCTGTGTGAGGTGGACTCGACGAATGCTACTCAGCGGATCTTACAATGGAATTGGGCCAAGATTTTCGGTCGAAGAAGGCTTGAGCCGAATTCCCTACGGATTCAACAACCACCCCAATGCTACCCAGAAGGGCAATGTACCAGTCGGTGCAGCTCCGAGACAGGGAAGCTGCCATCCTGCCAGTTACTCCACGGCAACTTATTGATGGGAATCATGGGAATCGAGCGAGCAGCTCTCCATCCGTGTGGAACTCCCCATGTTGCACGTGTGAAGTGAGTGAGAAAAACCTCCTCGTCCTCCTCCTCCTCCTCCTCCTCCTCCTCCTCCTCCTCCTCCTCCTCCTCCCTCCTCCCTCCTCCCTCCTCCCTCCTCCCTCCTCCCTCCTCCCCCTCCCCCTCCTCCTCCCTCCTCCCTCCTCCCTCCTCCCCTCCTCCTCCTCCCTCCCTCCTCCTCCCTCCCCCTCCTCCCTCCTCCCTCCTCCCTCCTCCCTCCTCCCTCCTCCCTCCATCCCCTCCCTCCTCCCTCCTCCCTCCTCCCTCCTCCCTCCTCCCTCCGTCCCTCCGTCCCTCCGTCCCTCCGTCCCTCCCCCTCCATCCCTCCATCCCTCCATCCCTCCATCCCCTCCCTCCCCCCTTCTCCCTCCTCCTCCTCCTCCTCCTCCTCTCTCATCCTCCTCCTCCTCCTCCTCATCCTCCTCCTCCTCCTCCTCTCCCTCCCCCTCCTCCTCCTCCTCCTCCTCCTCCTCCTCCTCCTCCTCCTCCTCCTCCTCCTCCTCCTCTCCTCCTTCCTCCTCCGGTCCTCCTCTCCTCCTCCTCCTCCTCTCTCCTCCTCCTCCTCCTCCTCCTCTCCTCCTCCTCCTCCTTATCCTCCTCCTCCTCCTCCTGCTCCTCCTCCTGCGGTCCTCCTCCTCCCCGTCCTCCTCGTCCTTGTCCTCCTCCTCCTCCTCCTCCTCCTCCTCCTCCTCCTCCTCCTCCTCCTCCTCCTCCTCCTCTTCCTCCTCCTCGAATCAGAGCCGCGCTCTGACGGGGGGGACACGCCTCAAGCCGCGTGCTCCGCCAGGCCCGTGCCCTCTCTGGCAACCCCCGCGGCCTTCCCAAGCAGGCCCAGAGGGAGGCTCTTCTCGACGGGGGCGCGGACCCATCAAAGGGGCTGCGGGGGTCGAACCAAATCCCTACAAACCTGGCACCGTACGTGCAGTGCCAGGGGCGGCGGCCCGTCTTCCCGTCCTACCATCCATCATAGGTGGATGCGAAGTCCCTGAAGACGGGACTGGGTGGGCACGAGCGGGCATCATAGCCAGCTCACAATCAAAAAGAGGCATCATCGCCTCTCCAGTCTGGATTGATCGACTCACGGATCCAATGCAAGTTGTTCTCCTTGACTTCGCTCCATGCGTAACATGCTCTCCCCTCGCGCTGTGACAAAAAATCACGACGGGAGGTTTCTCGCTATGTTCGGCCTCCAGGGGCCCTTCCCGTGCCTCGGGACCGTCAAAAAACGGCTCAGGATGAGACACCGGTCCCGGGGAACGGGTCCAGACCTCTGGGGGTCGACGGTGAGAACAGAATCACGACGTCGGGGGCCTGGGGAGCGCGAGGGCCACGGAAGCCCCGACGACGGAGGGGGCCCTGGAATGACATGCGGGCAGCGTGGGGCCGCGCGGGTCTCGCATCGCTGCGTGCTCGGGAAGCGCTGAAGTGCGGGCGCTCTGGGAGGGCGACGGTGAGGAAGGAATGTCGAGGTCGACTCTCCAAGGCTTGAGCGAAAATGGGCACGGACGAGGCCGGACGAGGGACGCAGGAGGGGGGTGGGGAGGAGGAGCGAGGCAGGGGGGAGCGAGACGAGAGGACAGGCGAGGAGGGAAGGAGGGGGGGGGAGAGGGGGGGGGCAGGCGGAGGGAGGCGCAGAGGCCCCCGCCCGAGCGGACCTGCGCTCCTCCTCTCTAAGACGAAGCCAGGACGAGGACAACGTCGGGTGAGGATGAGTCTGAGGATCTCTGAGATCCGTCGGTTCTGGAGGATGTCTAGGGCGCCGCGGCCTTCTCAAAGCGTTCTGGCACGCTCTGAGAATGTTCCGGAACGCTCTGGAACGGATTTATCCTCGTCCTACAGTCGGGGTGGATTGGAGAGGACACGCGAGAGGACACAAGACTCTTCCGATGGCCACATTGCCAGTGGAACGTAGAGACGTAGAGGGCATGGGCCGCGAAACACAGGACACAAGGGGTGCCCTTGTTCGGGCAGGGTCGACCTACTAATCGAACCCGACTGGAGCCGCCCCCGACTTTCCCCCATGTTCCTCGGCACCCCCTGCGTCTGCCCGACCGCTTGTTGGACCCAACTCGCCGCAGACCGACAACGTCCCTCGGCACCACCGCCGCGCAGCCTGAGGCTCCCATTCCGGGTATGGTGCAAGCTATGACCGTACGTGTCCTGGTCGATGACGGGGGTCTGTGCTGTGCTGCGAACGCGTTGCTGGACAGTGCTGTGTCCGCGGTGCTCGACTCGATAAGTAAGGGGGGGGGCAGAAAGATGAGTGCCCCCAACAAGGCCTCCGAGGCTCTGACAGGCCAGGCACGATGCCCCCCTCCCGCTTTCCCCTCACACCGCCGGGCGGCGGCCAAGCGGCTCGAAGAGACTCTGGGCTCGGAGAGGACCCCCTTCCAAGTGTTGCAAAACCGTGCGCCCGACAGTCCCCACGGAGACTCAAAGCGCGCCGAGTCCTCCACGCGCGACAGGCACACGAGGTCCACCTGCCGGTTGCAACAGGTGAGGGCGTGAGCAAGTGCCCGATCTCTGCCACGTCCTGGTATTGTTTCGTCGTCTTACTTCTGTCGATGACTCATCTCGCGAGCTTGCATCATTCAGATCGTGTCCGCCGTCGCGCTTTGCAGCGTTGACCGTGACCTGGGCCTCTGGCATTCTCTATCCCATGCTTCTTGCGAAGAGTGGCATTGCACGCTGGCCTACTTACTCGTGTGCATGCCACCCTTAGGCACACTTCCCTACGTTCTCTCACATCGGAAATAGAAAGCGACCAGACTTTCACTCAACATTTAATATGCCACCGCGCTTGCAGCGGCTAGGGCGCGTGTGTGTAGGGTCCTTGATTCCGCTCTTCATGTATATTTTTTGGGGGCAACAGGCAAGGCCACAAGACGTATCGAGCCCGACCTGCGTTCGAATGGTCGACCAAGTCCCTGCATTCGTTGCCTTCCGACCAAGAAGATGGAGCCGACCTCAAAGATTCTAGTAATGTGGCTCTTCATGCAATCTCGCCTGTCTCGCCTCCCTCCAGCGCATGCCCAGCCCTCCTCCCCAAAGTGCACGCCCGAGCGCGGTGTCGGAGTTGCCTGGCGGCGCCACTGGGTTGCCC